TGGCATTGAGAGGACGAAGAAAGATGCTAAAGTCTCAACTATTTGACTTCTCGATGAATAGAATGGTTTGGAGCTTACGAGCGATGTCATGCAATTAAATATCCTGTATTATAATTCTTACGCGCCAAAACTTATTTTTATTCCAACTTTATCATTAAAATAATCTAATGGTAAGGGAATTAAAAAATAAACTTTTTTTCAAATTTAAAATATAAAAGATAAATCTAATCAATTTTAGTAGAGATATACATTCAAAATTTATGATGCATATATATATATTTATATATTTTTAAATTTTGACTAAATTAAAAAAAAAAAAGATAACTTCTGAATTTAATATTTTTGAATTCAAAATTTATACAAAATTTTCAATCTTTGATAGATTTTTGTTTTGAATTTAAATAATTTATTAAATATAATTATTTTATAAATCAATTTTAGAGGATAATATATCTATGAGATATTTAAATTTAAATATATATATTTAGATTAATAAAAATTCATTTTTAAAAAATAATATATCTAAATTAGATTTTATTGCTAATAATTTAGAAATTATCCATATAGATATACATTTGGATAGCTAAATAATATATATGAATTGGTACATTCATTTAAATTTTGAAAGTTTTAGATAATTAAATAAAATTTTAAATATATATTTTTTATAAATAATCTAAAATTAAAAAATATCTTATATGTCATTAAAAAGAGAAATTTAAGAGATTTTTTTATATGTAAAAAAAAATCAACATAAACATCCATATCAATAAATTCTATTTAGTAATTATGTATATTGTAATATAATATATATATATATATATATGATTGGAGAAAATATGATTTTTATTTTCTCTAATCAGAATTAAAAAATATAAATTGTAATATAATTCTGATCCTAGATGATATTGTAATATAATTCTGATCTCATTTCATATGCAATATATTTTTTAACTATTTATTATTTTGATATTTTATTTTTTAAAATTATTTTTTATAAAAAATTAGAGTAAAGATTAATGGCTGGAAATCAATTTTCAATTTCAAAATTTCAACTTATTCAATTTTGTTTTTAATAAAAAATTAGAATAAAAATTAATTGTTGAAAGTCAAATTTAAATTTCAAGACTAAAGATAATTATTTTTTACACAAAGAAAACAGTAATTTAAAGATAGGAAAAGAATTCTATGTATAAGTATTAAACCCAAACATATTAAATGCTACTTCTTATTTTATATTTGAATTATATTTTTAAGAGAAAAAAATTAAAGGTTTTTAAAGAAAATGAACAAAAGAGAAGTTAAGAAAAAAATTATTATTATTAATTTTTTTTATTTGGTTAAAATATGAAGAAGAAAGGAAAGAGTACATTAAAAAATATTTTTTTCATTACACTCTTCTAAATTGTAAAGTAGTTTGGTTTTGCTAAGCTCAAGTTAATGTGTCATAGTTAAGCTTTGATGTATTTCTATCATGTCATGATTAACTTTAAGCTGAATAAAGGTTAAGCTGAATAAATGTTAGAGGTGTAATCGAATCGAGTCGAGTCAATATAGTGAGAAGTTCGAGCTCAACTCTCGACTCACGATTCAATACTCAATTCAAATTTAATCAAGTTTTATTTTTTTTAATTTGAATTCAATTCGTAATCGAAATCAAACTACTCAAACTCGCTCGATTAAGTTTAATTAATATGTAAAAATAAGTTCAATTCGTATACTTGATAAAAGTTTTATTATTTATGCTCGAATTTGATATATTTTATTAATTAAAATAATAAAAATATATTTAAATATAAAAGTTCAATTAAACTTTCGAGTTACTCGAGTCGAGTATAAAAATACTTGAATTCAACTCGATCAATGAGTCGAATTACTCGAGCTCGAGTTCTACTCGAGTTCGAATTCGACTCGATAATAATTAAACTGAATTTGAGTTTTTTTCGAATCAAATCTAAATAACTTACGAGTATTAATGTATCATTTATACGGTGGAGATCTTATTGATCAGACAATGATCCTAGAGCAACGGACGTGCAGTATAAGTTTAGGAACATGTTGTTAATAGGTACACAGGCAAGTGCGAGTAAGTGGGTGGCACCCTGAAGCCTAATAACCTTGTACATTTTTATTTAAAAATTTAAAACACAATAAAAGCATGATAGTTTCTTAATTAATTTTTTTTTTTCAATTTAAAAATTGAAAATTAAAGATTTTAAAGGAAAATAACTCTTCTTTCTCCTTTTAATTAAAATGCTATATGTAAAATGGTTTTTTTCATTATCATTTTCTTTGTTTTATGTGTCTTTCCCTCTCAAGTTCGAATATAGTGTTAAGAACTTTCATAATCTAAATATAATGTTCAAAATGATTGAAGAAATTAATTAAATTAAATTTTAAATTAAAAAATAAATACTTCAAACGATACATTTGAATATCTGATAAGATTTTTTTATTCAAATAGGAGTAATTATCATATATTCAAATTGAGATGATTGTTCAATATTACAAATGAGGGAAAGACACCTTTTATGGGAGAGACTAAAAATGAGCCACCTAACGGTTCTAGAAGACTCTTTGTAATAATTGATAAGGACATTTTTAAGGAGATGAGCTGACTAACATCATTTTTTTTATATAAAAAAAATTTAAAATAAATAAATTATTTAATCTTTTAAATTAAATTAAAATATATTATATCTAATAATTTAAAATAAATAACTATAAATTGTATATTTAAAAAACTCTAATAAACTGACTGCCGACAGGATTAACACCTTTTAGATGCTTGTGCACACTTGGACCTATGCAGGGACTGTGACACATGAACTTAACATCCGTTTATATCTATCAATAGTTAAGAACATTAAGCCAATTAATCCAATTTGGGCAAACGAATTGCCTTTATAAAACAAAAATCAAAAGCATGGACTACGAGCTCGATTGGCCATAAAGCCCATATAAGTTTCTGGATATTCCCAGAACTTTTGGGCTTATGAATATAAATCCAGGTTCTTAAACTTGAAATATTTGAGCTTATCGGTGCATTAGACGGTCCAATTTGATTGCAATTTCATGTTTTGCTAGATTTTCCAACGGCGTAACTACTCCACACTCAAAATTGAATAAGAGTAGCTAGTTGTGAATTATTATAAGAGGGTTTAATATTCATTTGGTCCCTCAACAATCACTTCTTTCACATTGATACCTAGAGAATCAATTATCTTTTTCTTAGTAAGATAATCGCCGTCCAAAATTTTTGGATCAATAATGGTATGATGTGGAATTTTTTTCATGAATCGTAAATTAATTTTATTTGCGACATTAAAAATGTCACGTTTCTATTTTATAAAAACCAACTCATCTCTTTCGACTCACAATTCAGTAACAGTGTTAATCCATGTATCAAATATGTTAGTCATTTATTAATTCAAATTGTTCTTTCTCATATCAATTTGAATATTAAAAAATTAACATTTATATTGATAATGAAAATTTTAAATTTTACAAACGAAATTAAAAAAAAAAGTGATACATTTCTTTTAAGAAATATTTAAAAAATAAAAATTAATTAAAAATAAAATGAGACATGTGTCAAATTTTTAACATTATTTGTGAAATTAAAAAATTACATTAACGATGTATTAAATACTAATTCTTTGAACGTTAAGCTATTGTTTATGTACCATTTTTATCATTAACTCCACATATTAAAAAATTTAGAGAAATTTAAAAAAATGATAAAAATTGACATATCACCACGTATCTCAATGTCTTTCATTATATATATTGATAATCACCAATAAGTGATTGGTTTAATCAATTAAAATTATTTTTCTCAATGAAAATGTCTTAAATTCGAATCCTGTCAGTGATCATTTATTGTGGTTATTTCGAATGCACGACCTGCTACCACTTCTTTTAGAGTGTCAAGTATGACACATTTTACCATAACCTAAGAGATTGAGCGGTCTATCTACTTCAGAATTTTTTTTAAATATATATATATATATATTGATATCTATCTCTTTTAGAAGATACTATGCCTTCTTTTAAAATGTCAAGTATGCCACATTTTGCCCTAATCTGAGAGACTGAACAATCTATCTACTTTTAAATTTTTTTAAATATATATATATCAATATCTATCTCTTTTAGAAGATACTATGCCGCTACTCGGACTCGAACCGAGATGCTCTAGCACTGCTTCCTAAGAGCAGCGTGTCTACCGATTTCACCATAGCGGCTTGCTCGAAATCATAATAAGCCATTTTTTATTCAATCGTCGAGATTGAAGGTGAAGGGGTCAATTCAATGTAAAATGTAAAAGAAGCATTTAATTTAAATTGATGAATAAAAACTCGTTTAAATAGCAATTTGAAGGTTCAAAAAGAATCTTTATTATTTATCGTTTTATTTAATTATCCTTTTATTTAATATTTAATTTAATATTTAATTATTTCAACAGAGATTTTATAGTTTGTGTTTTCCTAAAAGAGATTCTTTTAGAGTATAAAGAATGACACATCTTATCTTAATCTGAGAGACTGAACAGTCTATTTAATTTTAAATTTTTTTTAAAATATATATATATTGATAATTAATTAAAAAAATATATGTTTTGAAAAATAAAGGTAGCAAGAGATGCATTTTGCAGCATAGGAAATCTTAACAAGGATAGGATAAAGGTTAAAGCTGAATTTGGTCCAAATTATTTAAATTCTAATTTTTAAGTCCTACTTCAATTTTAATAAATTTAATCCTATACTTTTTATTAAAAATAAATTAAAAAAACAATTGATAATCATATTAAGATTGGATGATATAAAATTTTGGTGATTACTTAGTATGAAGGTGATTTAATTTTATTGAACACCGAATTACAAAAGATCATATTTTATTTTAATTAAATAATAATTAATATTTTTTAAATATTTTTTATCTTTATTATTTTGTAAATTCAATTGAACATGTTGTATCATCAATAAAAAAACCACGTAATCAAATTTAATTGAAGTTTAACACTATTCCTTGCATTAATTTCTCTAAAAATATAAGAATTACATTCATTAAAAAAGGTTCAGAGATCAAAACAACATGAGTACGAAAGCCTCAAAACAGCAGCAACTACTGTTGTTTTCTTATATCACTATTTCACTAGTAAGCTATTCAGTAATTCAATTCATAGCCATCCATCCAGCATATTTGAGAGGAGAAAATTGTTACAGTGTTACTTGGAGCCCCAGCTGCCTTTTCATTTGTTAAAGCTCAATGGTCATTTTCCTCTTCTGTTTCATCAGAATCAGCATTTTGGCTGATATACTCTTGAGCTTCTTCCAGTGCAGATTCTTTTGCATCAGCAGCATACAGTATTTTCTTTATTGCTATTGCCATCTGCATTTTTTTTTTTTTTTCAATATGCATGTAATCAGAAAATGAGATTATAAAAAATACTTTGATCCAGGCAGCATAAGTTTGCATCGATAATCATTGACAAACAGTATATATCATGTTAAGAAATGCAGGCCTATAAGAACAATTATGCTATATTTCTGACTTTTACCTCAAGATCCTTCCACTTAATGAATTAGGTGAAAAAACAAGAAAAGGCAATTCATGCACTCTAAGTGCAATTGAAGTCCTTATAGGCACGTCATCGTATCAAGGGAGAGGAAAAATATGAGTACGAAAATCAAATTAAAGCCCAAGGACCCATAAAAGAGCAGATTTCTTGATTGGTATTTCACCTAAAATCAATACAGAGCAATCCTAACAATAACATCAAAGGGGTGCAAGGGCTAAATGACATCATATTAGTACATAAAAGTATATGACACAGCCAGTAACCTTGACAGCTAATAGCACCTCTCTTGATGTCCTGGGTTTGATTACATGCAACTAGAGTTAGCAACAGATCCACCGATGGGCAGCTAATGGATCATATCAAGATTTATGAGCAAATTAATGACTACCCAAGAATGCATGCATATACACACTTGAGAAAATGTGAAGGAGGGCTTAGTAGGAACTCTTACTGGAAGATTCCCCACTTCAGGAGTCTGACAAAGTATCTCAATATCTCGTAATTTAGCAAAGTAAAAATCTCTTTCCTTTTCCAAAAGGTTGACAGAGAGCTTCAAATCAGTAACCTATACAAGAGAAATATGAAATGGTATTAAATCACGTCAAATAACAAAATCACGAAAGAATATTGGTTTCATTGTTCAGACAGTGAATTACTCAAATTCCTAACTCAAATATGCATAATATACTTGAGAGGGGGGGAAAAAGCGTTTGGGAGACTAAAAATGCTTAAGACAATTGTTTTTTCCACTCTAATAAAGTAAGGCAAAATAAATGTGCAATGGCAAATTTACAGTGCATCACCAAGCAAATATAAAAGGGGAACAATCCAGGTCAGACAGCCATCAAAATCACTAAAAGCATGGTAAAAATGAATGAATAGATGATTAAAAAAAACAGAGAGCTCAAATGCTATTACCTCCTTGGACAAAGCCTGGACATCCCCTGAAGATGCTGCTACACCCGTCTTCCCTTGTTTGGAAACTGACACAATAAGTGTCAAACAATGGTGAGAAGAGTTAGTGGTAACTGGTAAGCAAGAAACAATTATGAGGATGATTAAATGCATAAAAAAAATACAATATATGATATTAATGCAAAAGAAATTGCATTGCACAAGCAGACCAGAGTTTTTAGTAATCCCACCTGTATCTCCAGAGGCAGAGTTATGGAGATTGTTTGCTTGCAGAGATTTTGAGCTCTTATTAGTACCCTTTGAGTTCCGCTCTTTGCCACCTTTAAGTCTTCTTTCAACAGGATCATAATTCCTTTGAAATCACACAAGTAATAAAATAATTCAATTATAATGTACTAATAATGTCAAGGAACATGAGGGAGGAAGGGGGGAGGGGAGGAGTGAAGATTAATATAATGACAGGAAGAATAGCTTACTCATTGATAATTCCACCATTCACAGAATCACAATACCGTTTTAGCCATTGTAGGAACTCCAAGTTGTCCAAAGGTCTGCCTTTAACAAGTCTATTGACTTCAATATGCTGCATATGGCAAAATTATCAATGAAATAATTTGTTATCTAAATAATTGCAATAAAACTAGAAAATACTACTTTTTCACATTAAGATTCAAATAAACCACTAGTAAATCTAATTCATAGGGACCTATTCATGTGATAGCTTATGCTCAATTGTCCATGGTAACAAACAACACAGGGATTGATGTCAAATCTTAATTCATGTGAAGTTTAAGCTTCATCTCCTACAAAAGCATCTAACTGTAAGACATCATCCGTTGTTATGCCAAAAGCAAAATGCTGCTTCTCATTAAGAATCCCACCAATGGCAACATAACTCTTTATATATTTTCTATCAGAGATCAGCCACAATTTTATTTTGGCCTAGCAACCAAAAGAACTGTAACTCACACATGAGGATATCAGATGAAATGTCATTGAGATTTCTAAAATGCCATAAATTTACTCAACTTTATGCTTACTTTATTAAGTTTTTAGTGATCCATATGCAACCAAATGGGATGAAGCATACTCTCAAGGTTCTTTTTTCTTTTATTCTTTTAAAACATGTGTAGTAAAAGAAAGGACAAAAACTTCACATAGTAGGCATTAAAAAAGAAAATATACAGTAAATAGAGATAGACTTACCTTTTCAATTTTCAACTTGTTGAATACTTCTTGTAGAACCTTGTAATTTTGAATCATATCATATTCTGTCTTTGCATCAAAATTCACCTGCATTCCAATTAAAATCAGGGAAATTATTAGTGATGAAAAGTAACTGAACAAAAGACATGAGGAAGATGAAATAAATACAAATCAGCTAATTCTCACCTTGTGCATTGGGACAACTCCTGGATAGGTCATATCTATCATCTGACACTGCACAGCACCAGATGCAGCCTGGCAACAAGTAGTTTTAAGTGAAGAAAAATAATTAACATCAATATTTAAGAGAATAAATTTTAAAAAGCAAAGTAAAATTTTATCAGTGAACGGAATGACTGTGCTAGCCATAAACCAGCGATTTTTCAGTTCAGTAAGAATTGGAAACGAAGGCATAAAGCTTAAGCAAAAGTCCTCACATGAATAAAACACATCTCCAACAGAATATATGAAAAGCCAAACAGCAATCACCTACTCATTAAACCAATCAATCTCTTAGGGCCAATTTTTCCAGGTGAAAAACCACAAAAGCCCTGAGTCCCAAGAGTGGCCACTTTAAAGTTAAAAAAAAAAAGTACAAGGATAACACATGTCCAAATCAACCCTTTTAGAAGTTAGAACCTTACCAGGGACAAGGAGACTGAACACTAGGGATCAAAATATTAGAAATATGCAAATTATCACCCACTTTTGGTCCTTATATAAATTCCCATGTGTTCCTCAAGTTATTCTAGTTATCATCCCATCTAGCAAGAGGAGAATGTAAATCATTCGCAATTGAAAACAAAATGGTTGTCTTGTCTTAAACTTTGTCTTGTCTCAAACTTTGTTTTGTCTGAAACTTATCCTAATCTACAAAAGCAAGCACAGGAAGAATGTCTGTGAAATTATTTCTCTGCTTCTGTCTATATAAGTGGAATCGCTGGGTGACTCACTACTGTCCATCCATAATGATAGATAAAGTCTCAAATCACATGCAGAAATGGGATAGATTAATTTGTAGGAATAAAGAATCAACACTAAGGCTGAAAAGTGAAAGCCTGTCAATGGCAACAAAATAAAAGAGAAAGAAAACCAACATTCTTGAAGTAAATCAAAGCAAGATTAACAATAAATAAATAAATAAATTCAAACATCAGGAGACCTTTAACACAATGCTATCTTGCAACAGTGAATTGTTAACATTAAAAATTTATTGAAATGGCCAAAATAATCCCATTTTAAATAAAAAAATCTCTTTCTTGTTTCATATAGTTCTTAGTCAAGAAATAATTTGATTTAAAAAAAAAAAAACCCATTTCAAAGCAAACTTTGTTATTTCCAACAAAAATTAATCATTTCTGTAAGAACCAACATTACCCATCAAAAAACCATAAGCGCAAAACCAAAGAGGTAATACATATGCATATAGAATGTAATAGAAAACAATAAAATTCACAAAAAGCTAACAATCATTGATAAAAACAAGCATTACCCATAAAAATGACAATAAAATAAAATATATAAATATATAAAACATAAATTACTTCTTCAATACGAGAGAGATTAAGCTGAAGCCTGCTGTTGATCCACGTTAAAATCTCATTCCTTCCAACAAAGTAAGCACTATCCATCATTCCTATATTCGACGCCATTTTCTCTCTTCTTTTTCTTCCTGTTTTTCTTTTTTTATTACTATTATTTTGCTTTTAGCCTCACAAATTCAAATAAGATTTCTCTAATAACATAGAAAGAGAAGAAGAGAAGAAACCCAAAACAGAGAACAATGTGGGTAGTAAGAGGAAAGATTAAGGCGTAATACAAGGAAGAGTTTTTTAAAAATGATTTTCAATTTTGGATTTCGAATTTATTAGAATTTTTAGAACTGAAAACACGGAAGGAAATGGATGGCTGACATCTGAAAAAGAAAACCCGAAGCAGAAGAAAGAAACCCAATGGCCGTCTGCTGACACCGACCCTTTTAATTTCCCCATTTTTTTTCTTCTTTCGGATAATTTTTCTTTTTTTTATTATTACTATTCTCGAAAACAATTATTCTCTTGCCAATGTGCCATCCAAAAATGTGTATGTTTTAAAAAATAATATTTTAAGAACATTTAATTTCAGAATAAAAGGAGAGGAATACTTTATGAAAAATATTGGGCTTTTAACCCTTTGGACATCATTTAAGTTAGTATTTACTGCTAGGCTGGGCCTGAGGAAAAATAACTTAATCTAAATAAATCATGGTGTTTGGCAACTGCAATTTTTGAGTTCCAGGATTAGGGTTTTACATTTTTAGAGGTCTCTTATAAGCTCCCCATAGCCTCGGTTGCCGCCGTAGTAGACGAAAGCAGCAGAGCAACAGTGTTAAGAGACACGGCGCCTCAGCCCAACAACAACCATGGTTCACGTCTCATTTTACCGCAACTGTAAGCACTGTCTTTTTCTTGTTTATATATTTCTTTAACAAATCTTTCTTTGAACTTTGATCTGCTTTAGATATTTTCCATAGGTCTTATGTTGCTTTTTGATTTGTCTTTTCTTTTCTTTTGGCCTAATAGCTTCGTTGGATCTTGTTCTTTGATAGAAAAGAGAAATTGGGTTTTGTTATTTGTGATTTTATATTAGATATGCATAGTAAATTGAGGGTTGTCTAGTTGGGTAGAGGAGGGTCAAGGATATCGTAGGTAGTTGACAAACCAGATAAACCAAAAGAAAAAAAAATGTGGGTATTTGTTTTGATTGATCTTAAAAACAAAACGGTGTTGACTTTGTCCTAACAAAATTCAGTGTCTAAAGCAGAAGTGCATATGTTGGTTTGATAAATGATATGTTGGATTATGATTTTTTTTCTTCACATTATAAATGATTACAGATGGGAAGACATTTAAGAAGCCTCGTCGTCCTTATGAAAAGGAGCGATTGGATGCTGAGCTGAAGCTGGTGGGAGAGTATGGGCTGCGATGCAAGAGAGAGCTTTGGAGAGTTCAGTATGCTTTGAGCCGTATCAGAAATGCTGCAAGGGATCTGCTGACCCTTGATGAGAAAAACCCACGTCGGATCTTTGAGGGTGAGGCCCTTCTTCGCAGGATGAATCGATATGGGCTTTTGGATGAGAGCCAGAACAAGCTTGATTATGTCTTGGCCTTAACAGTGGAGAACTTCCTTGAGCGCCGCCTTCAGACTCTTGTATTTAAGGCTGGTATGGCTAAATCTATCCACCATGCCCGAGTGCTCATCAGGCAGAAGCATATCAGGTGAGCTTTTATAACTTTTTTTTAATGCCAGTTTAGAAGTAAGGCTATTGGTTTCAACTTTTCTCCATTATGTTTCTGACACATTCTTTTTTCTGGATGATTAGCTTTATAAATTGTAATTTTCTTGATCCCCTATGACTAGTAACTGGTTAAACTGTAAAATCAATATGATTTAGTAGTAAAATATGGGTTATTATATCATTAGATTGTAGGAAATGGACAAAACAATGGTTCACTTTTTTCTTTTGAATGGGGGAATTTTTTGCCTCTATTACTTGAATATTGGATAAATATTGTGGCAATTTCCTCTGGTCTGTTGCTTCTGGTTATGCCTACGTCTAGCTTTTTTGTATCAAATTGTTTTACTATTGATCTATTAGCTGTCAGATGTTGGAACTCTCTCGCTCTATATTTTTGTTTGATTTTTGTTTGATTTTTATACGAGTAATTTTGTTTTTATTTGATGTCTAATTATGTTAGTTTATCCTATTCTGTTTGAATATTTTCTGTTTGTGTTTATATTATTGCAGTATAATTATCTTTTGCCCATCAATACTCTGCTCAATTTATTCTGGCTGTACAGGGTTGGCAGGCAGGTGGTCAACATTCCTTCTTTCATGGTGAGGGTTGATTCACAAAAGCACATTGATTTCTCTCTCACTAGTCCGTTTGGTGGTGGACGTCCTGGAAGAGTAAAGAGAAGGAATCAGAGGGCAGCTGCCAAGAAGGCCGCTGGTGGAGACGGAGATGAAGAGGATGAAGAATGAGTAATGGGTGGTTTCTGATCTTTTGGGGATAGTTACAGTAGGACTATCTCATCTAAGCTAGTTTTACATGACTTACAAATTGATGTCTTTGGTGTTAATTTGCATAAGTTTTTATCTGCTATCTTTTATGGACATTGTACTTAATGTCCCCTTTTTTTTTCTTATTATATTGAAGTATCAATTAATTGATTTGGCATGGAAATTTTGGATTTTGAAGCCGTGGATGATGCATGGTTGATATTGGTTGGAATTAAGATTTTCATTTCTAAATTGGAGGGATTTGTGATTGGATCTTTGTGTTAGATCTCATTAAGCAGTATGATCTAGTAAAAAAATCCAGAAATGAAGCCTAGAGTGAGCTGTGATTTTCTTGTTAGGCAAAGCCTCAAAGGCAATGAATGATAACAGTTCCTTTTCAGGTTGACGATGTCGTTAGCCATGACTTAGCTGACAAACTATTGTTTTGTACTATTAGAATGTTTGAAGTAGTTTCTAATTGCGGTTGTTATCATTTGCAGCATCATTATATTTGCAATATCATTATAATAATGTAATTATCGACCACATTTATCTTATCATTTGAAATTTGAAATCATTTCTTTGGTAATTTTCAACTTTGTTTCTTTGAGCATTTCTTTATAACTTTCCCTCCACACTGTCTTTTTAATTCGCCAAAATAATATCTTTGATTTTATCCAATATTTTCGATATTTTACTATAATCTTCATTTCAAGATTAATAGGTTCAACAATATTGTTTTTGGTATGTTAATGTAATATCCGGTGCTTTTCTTTTTTGTTGGTACTTAAATGTTCTATAAAAATATATTATTTTGCTACATTAATGTAATATAATTAGTTGATAATTATGTTTTTTTTTTTTTTTTTTACATTTTATAAGTGTAATTGTTGAGGGAAGTGCAACCTAAAATATTTATATTTTATTTTATTTTAGAAGACAATTGAGTAAAAGATGTCAATAGAAATCTTGTATATCTGCTGAACCAAACGAATGCACAACATGATATGGAGAATATCAACATTTATTGATCTTTATAGAATTTGATCTGATTCAATTTTGGATTAATAAGAACACAAAGTGATTTCAGTAATATTATAGGAAGAATCTCATTGCCAAAATCAATGTAGGATTTTTGGACCAAATGCTCCCTAGTAATAGGATGGCGATCCCCTATGATCTCCAGCCTTAGATAACTGAGCACTGCATTTACTAGGATTTTTAGGGGACGATTACTTTATGGAATTTAGATTTTTCTAAGATTTTATTTTTTGTAATATAATTTTTACGTTTGATTTATGAATTTTCAAAATTTAATATTTTTAACAGTGTTAAAAAAGAAGAAATAGTCTGAAATAAAAAATCCTCATTTTCTGAAATTTTTAAAGATTTTTGACAAAAAGTAAGATTTGTCTTATTTTTATCCTAAATAATTAGTATTTATGATCTATTATATCATTTAATATCATAAGTCAAAACTCAATTAATATGCACACAAGCATTCGAAGTCCCAATGTTTGATGTCTAACAACACAGGGATAAATTTTATTTTCAAAAAATAAAAATTAATTCAATTTTATTTATCATTTTACTGAGTTTAATTCAGTTATTTTAATTTATTTTTTGATTGAGTTTTTACAAATAATTTGATTTTATTTAACAAAAATATAATAATAAAAATTATTAACGTATGCATATTATGTTAATAATATTTTAATTATTTGAAATAAAATAAATATTTATAATAAAATATTTATTTTCAGTTGATAAAAAATGACAATAATATAAAAATAGCAATAAAAGTATTTGTAAAAATATAATATGAACAAATACTTTTTAAAATTATTTAATTCCTATAAGGACAACATTTATATTTCATCATACATTGTAATTATTGAGAAGATATTAAAAATAATTAATTAATTTTGCAAAAAAACAAAAAACAAATATTACATTTTGCTTCTTAAAACATAATCAAGTATTAAAAATTTTTGTATATCACTTTTATTTCGAATAAAATCATTATCAATTTGTCTAATAAATTGATAAAATAATATTTATCCAAAATCAATAAATGATGTTTGTTAATATCATAGTCTATAATCAAATACACAATAGTTGTTATTAACAAATATTGTTTATAATAAAATTTTGTATTAAAAAATTCAGTATTTTATATACTTAATTTACTAAATTAATAAGATGTATAATATATAAATTAATTTAATTAAATCTCTTACAAATTAAATAAATATGTTATAAAAATGTTAAGTAAATGATTTTATGAATATTACATGTTATTTATGTGTCGTTCAAAGCAATATAGAGATAAGACCAATTGAATATTATTTATAAATGTCACATGTTAATTATATATGATATATAGATTACGACTATTTTTATAAATGTCGGTTGTATATAAATAGATGACACTTAGCTATAAAAATATATAGTTGTTCTTATAAACGACTATTCTTAATAAATATCATCTATTATGAAATTTTGTGTTAAAAATTTTAGTATTTTGTATATTTAGGTCGTGTTTGATGCATAGGATTATTGATAGGATATGATGATAATCATCTTATATCATATTTGATTTGTATTTAAACAAATTGATAGGAGGATTAATATCTTATTAACATATGATTATTCAATCCTTTTTAAATAGAGAGAATTATTTTTAATTATTGGAATTAAACTTATGTACCTAATTATATATTTAAAAATTATATCAATAATTTAAGTTGTATAAATTTTGAAGAAAAATAATTTTGATAAGTAAATAAATTATCCTATCTTAATTTTTGCATACATCAAACACAAAATAAGATGACATTATTTAATATAATCTTATTTATAATATTATCTTATTTTATCCTATCATAATCTTGTATATCAAACATGATATTAATATATTTAATTAACTAGATATATTAAATAGTCTGTAACATTATATATATTTGATACACGAGATACAAATGATGTGTTTGATATATAAAATTATGATATGATATAATAATATAATATTATAATAAAATAAAATAAAATAAAAATAATGTTATAATATTTTATGTTTATTATGTAAAAGGATTATGATAAGATAATTTATTTATTAGTCAAAATTATCTTTTTTCAAATTTATACAATTTAAATTATTAATGTAATTTTTAAAGGTATAATGGGACATAAATTCAATTTCAAGAATTAAAAATAATTCTCTTCACTTTAAGAGGATTGAATTATCCTATACAAAAAAGATGATTAATTTTTTTTACAATTTTATCCATTTTTTTAGATACAAATCAAATATAATAAAAGATGATTATCATTATCATTTTATGCATCAAACATGATCTAAATATATTAATAAATTATAAAATTCATTTATATTTTATGCATAATGTATTAAGTAAGTTAAATGTCATATAAATATCTAAATTAATTTAATTCAGTCACTGAAAAATTAAATAAATAAATATATTATACAATTGTTAAATAAACTAGGTATTTATATATTAAATAAATATATTATACAAACATTAAACAAATAATTTTATAAATATAATGTATTATTCATATATCATAAAAGACAATATACTAAAAGAATTCATTAAATAATTTTAAAATTTACAGACCAAACACTCTTTTAAAATTAAAATGAAGTGAAATTGATTCAATTTGTTTCATAAAAAATTACTTCCAAAAAATGATTTCTGAAAAATGTTTATATTTTTTGAATTGAAAGAGATTACCTTTTGTTTGGATGAGTTAAAGAAAAATAATTTCTATTATTTGGTTGTTTTTTGAAAAATCTATTTTTTTCAAATAATATTAATATAACTATTAAAATATTAAAAATTATTTATTATTAAAATATATTGAAAATTTTTATTGTTAAAATTATTAATATTAAAAGATAATTATATTTTAATAATAATATTTGATATTAAAATAATATGTTAATATAAAAAATACTTAAAATAAAACTATTTCTTATTCTTTATATTATTTATTAATATATTAATATGTTATATATTAATAATATTTATTAATATATTATAATAATAGTATATTATTTATTAACAATATATTATTTATTCATATATTATTATAATATTTTATTAATTAAATTAATAATATTTAATATTTATTAATATATTATAATATTATTTCTTAATACTATTTATTAGTATATTATTTATATATGATTTATTAATATAATATGATTTATTTATTAATATATTATTTATGAATATTATATTATTTATTAATATATTATAATATTTTTTATTAATATTTTTTATTAAGATATTATATTAATAATATATTATTTATTCATATAATGTTATTTATTAATATATTATAATATAATATTATTTGTAAATAAAATTATACTCAAAAGTATTAATAAATAATTATATTAATAGATAGTTCTTTTTCGAAATTTTTTTTCCCTTTTAAATCTATAAGATAATTTTTAAAAAATAATCTTATTTTTTATTTATCAGTAAATTATTTTTTGTTGATCAACTAATATTTTACCAAATAAATACCTAAAAATGTAAAAATTATTTTTTATGAAACAATCGGAGGCCATTATTCAATTCTAATTTGAAATCACAATTGTGAATAATAATATATATATATATATTTATATATATAAAGAGATTGGCTAATTGTTTTTATCTATCTTCTAATTTCTATGGGCACGTAACTATTTGACCCACAGTTGCTGCCTGCTGGATCAAAAATCCGCGTTCAACGAAAAGTAAAACCCAATAAATAATGAAAACTTTCGTCACATCTTTTTTTAATGTCATTTCCATCCAAATCCAATCCACAGAGTCAAAGATTCTAACAATCCAGACCGGACCTTAAAAACCCCAAAACATGTAACTTCCTTTAGGTCCTGACCGCATCGTCAAACGAAAACAAGACAGAAGAAACTCGACATGGATTCCGTTTACTTCTTCAAAGGCTATGACAAAGTAAGCCACCTCGAAAACCAAAACCATCACCAAAGAATCACTCAAAGACCTGCCTCAACCGCCATAACCATCTCTGCAGTCCTCCTCTTCACTTTGGTCATCGGCTTAACGCTTGCTCCGTTGATGCTGAAACCCATCAAAGAACCCACGGACACAGACCCAATCAGGACGATCTGCAACGTGACTAGGTACCCCGAGTCCTGCTTCACAGCTCTGTCTTCTCTCAACGCCTCTACAAAACCTGACCCAGAAACCATCCTGAGCCTCTCTCTCCAAGTGGCCATCACCCATCTCTCGAACCTCTCTTCATCCTTCAAATCCCTCAACGATCTCCATTTTCAGCCTGCTTTAAAGGACTGTATAACCTTGTTTGATGACGCGCTGAACCGATTCAATGACTCGGCGTTGGTAATGAAGGGGGGTTCTGGGAAGGAGCTAGTGTTGACCAAGGAGAAGATTACTGATATCCAGACTTGGATTAGTGCCGCAATGTCTGATCAGGACACGTGCAATGATGGGTTGGAAGAGATGGGATCGACGGTTGCTGGTAAAGTCAAATCTCAAGTTCAAAGTTGTAAAGAGTCTATTAGTAACAGTTTGGCTATTGTTGCTAATATGCAACACCTTCGACAGAAGTTTTGTCGCACTATGCACTGAAATGTTCTTTTTTTTTGCTACGTTTGCTTTAAATTTCTGGTCTTCATATGTAGGGTTATTGTTATGCATTTGTAAGGTGTTGCAAATATAGATGTGTAAAATTTACAGGTTTAAATTAATATATTTTTTGTTATTCCAAAATTATGTCCTGGAATTTATTTCAATTTGCTGTTGAGATCTTATATCAATTTTATTTTATCTTTGAACTTTGCTTCTGGTTCCTTTGAGATACCCACAGCATCATACAGCTAATGGTAGAGATTCTCCAGCCTGGAATTTCTCTTGTAAATGGAGGATTTTGTCTCAAATTTGCATGAGATATTGCCAGAAGCATGGTGGGAGAAGTGCCCCTGATGATTGAAACTGGAATTGGCTTTTGGAAATCTCCTGCTATCGATTGACAACAATTCTATTCTTTAGTTTGCTCTTCCCAACAGATTGCCTTCTAAAATATAGCTCTTCTAAATGTGATTTACGTCTTGATAGTATTCAAGATGCCCTGAATATTTTGAGAGATAGTACTCTTGCCCAGACTGTCTGGTGTTTCTCTAGTGCCATGACTCTTTGGACTGAATGACTTTTTTGCTTGCAGCGACGGATCCAGGATTTATATTCAGTGGGCAAAAATATATATAATACTAAATATATATAAGTTAACTAACATGCATAAAAAAAATTATTTTAGTATATATAAAAAAAACATATTATAATTGTTTTCTATGACTTTTCATATTTTGAAAGCATTGTAAATTTTTTTATTATCAATATTACAAAATATATCTTTCTTTATATATGAACAAAATAATAATTCATCCAAGAATCTCCTATTCGGTTGCACAAATAATTCTTCACAATCTTTATAGTAGAAAAAGCTCTTTCAACTGATGCAGTAAAAATTGATAATATCAAAACTAATTCCACAAGTAAGTATATCAATGGATACACAAAATGTTTTAATGTCTCAATAAATTTCATGGAAAGGTCACTAATACTTTTCAAACTTGTAAATTCATCATGAGATCTTAAATTAATAATGTAAGTTTCAAGTTGATTGTCAAGAACTAATAGCTCAACATTAAAAAATTTAACCGGATAAAATTGAGCAAGACGAATTAACTTTCTCTTATCAACAACTACAAAAGAATCACAAAGATTTAAAGAAGCTACACAAATAAATAACTCTATATTCATTTCATTAAAACGATTGTTAAGCTCTTAAATTTGGATATCAATTACTATATAAAACAACTCAACCTGATAATAATGTAAATTTGTCATTGTTAGAGCATTGCGTTGAGGTCTTCCATGAGTTACAAACATATCATCCATTGTTTTTCTCATAAAATAAAGAAACCTCTTTGTGCAAAAGTTTCCATCCATTATCTCTCATCGTTTGTAGTCGTTGCTTTGCTACCTTTACTGATGTCATCGCATTCACAATATCTTGATCTCATCTTTGTAATGCTAAAGACAATCATTTGTAATCTCTAAGGTATTTTTTTATCAAATACAAGTTGAAAGCAAAGTCAAAAGATTGAGTCGAATCTAATAAGGAAGAAGTTTCATCGCTTTACTCTGATCTATTCCATCTACCACAATAATTTCAAGCACATCAATGATAGAACTTAAACATAAGGATCAAATTTATCAAAGTCTCATAATGTGAATCCCAATGTGTATCCCCAGCTCGTTGAAGCCTTATTTCTTAGTTTAAACCCTTTCCCATAGAAAGTTCATCACTCATAAAGCCTCAACAATTTTATCAGGTTGTTTTTCTTGAAGAACATCTTTTCGTTTACATGAAGCCCCGACAATATTCACCACATTTGTCACAATGTTGAAAAGTAATGCAATTTGAACATGATTCTTTGCCACAGCTACAAGTGTCAATTGAAGTTGATGAGCAAACAATGAATATAATAAAATGATGCATTATCTTTCATGATCAAAGTTTTCAATCCATTGAATTCATCTTACATATTGCTTGCTCTATCATAACCTTGCCCACTAATTCTTGACATACTCAAATTATACTTAAAGAATAATGCTTCAATAGTTGCTTTAATTGACAAAATAGTTGTATCATTGACATGTATTATACCCAAAAAATATTTAATAACATGCTTTTTAGAATCCACATAACGTAAAACAATAGCAGATTATTCTTTGATTGAAACATCACGAGATTTATCAAGTAAAATAAAAAATAATCCATCTCCAAAATCTTCCATGATAGTATTGGTAGTCTCAATTACTGTAGCATGAACAAGATCTTTTTGAATATCATGTACTATTATTTTTGAATTTTTCGGTGCATTCTCCAAGATAAAACTATTGATGGTTTCATTATAATTGGCAAGAAATCTAAGAAACATAAGAAAATTTCATTGATTATGAAAATTTTCAGTTTTATCTTTACCACAAAATGCCAAACCTTGATATAAAAGAAAGAAAATACAATCAAGTGTTACAGTTAAGTGAACTCGATAATATTTTCGTGCTTGATCAAATTGTTTTGCAAAAGCAAATTGAATATGTTGCTTTTGATTTAGCAAATCTTGACAACATTTCCAAGCTTTGTTATGAGAACTATTAAGACCTTCAACATGAATATCAAATCTTTCTTTCTTTTTTCCAATTTATGAATCCATTTAAAAGAAAACAATCACCACCTGTTGTAGACACTGAATTTTATCCAGATCTATTGATGCTTTAAATCACGTTTTTGGTTTCTGTTTATCAATATTAAACTATTAATAATAATAGAAAAATATTGATAATAAAATATTAATATTAGTTTAATATTGAAAAAAATACAAAAAGTAAAAAAAAAAAGAAAATTAATAAAAAAAGATAAAAAAACAAGAGGGCTAGTGTACGGCACCGCCACTCAGTCCCATCAGACCAACCACCCCAGTCCCATCAAACCAGTCATGCTTGTGACCTAACCAAATCAACCACCAGACCAGTCCCATCAGACTAGCCACGCTTTCACCATAGCTTTACAGACACCTACAACTGCCCTATAAACACCTACAACCACCCCTACAGCCTACCTTAGCGACATCTACAGCCACCTAGATCCTTAGCTCCTTAAAGCCCTAACTTTCTCTTTTTTTAGCGAGAGGAAGCTCTCAAAAACACAAACTCAGATGCCTTAAAACACTAATTTCCCTTTTCAAGCTGTGGTGACCCAAAAACCTAATTCTTCGAACACACTAGACACATTACCTTCAGACACCCAGAACCCTTTAACTCCACCACCAGACTCCAACCTTTCAACTCCTCTAGGACATAAAATTTTGGACACCAGAAAAATTAATCCAAGCTCTTAGACACAAATTTCCAGAGACACTTCCTCAAACACCCCTTTCTTTTCAAGTTCGTTAATAACCTAAATCTTCAAAACAAGAGACACTCTTAAGCTTAGATACATGATCAATTCACACGCCAGACACCCATCTTCAAAATCTCGTTGAACCCTTTAAAAAATCCACAAAACCTTCACCTCAAAAAAAAAAAAAACATAAAAATAAATGACAATAAAGTCTTCCCGTAAGGATCAGCCCAAGCTACCTGCAAACACAAGAAATCATCATTAGTTTCATTTATAAAAAAAAAAAAACAAAAAGCCAGTTTTGGTTTTAAAAAGAAAAAAGGAAAGAGAAAAGACGATAGAAACTTTGAGCTCAAATCTATGCTGATCGAGGCTATTTTCGATAAAAAGAAGATCGGATCTAAAAAAAGTACATTGAAAAGAGTCTTTTGGTGTGTTTTGGCATATTTCAACCATCGACGACCACCGACAGTGACCGTCAGCTGTGACCTAGGCGACGGCTAGCGCGACAGTCCGGCACAAGACTCTGGCAAAGCCAGAGAGAATTTTTGGAGGTTGAAATTTTTTTTTTTGAAAGGAAAGATGAAATGAAATAAAAAAAAAAGTTAACTTTTATATAAAAGTCGAAACAGCAAAATGATGTCATTTTGCTTAAGGAAAAGATTCGCGCATGGACCCGGATCCGACCCGCCTTTTCACAGCGTTGAATCGGTTCAACTGAACCCTCGTCGAATCCGCCACTCAATCGGCTCAACCGAATGCCTCTTTTTCCTCTCAGTCGAACCGACGTTGACTTGACAGTTGATTGGTCTGGTTCAGGTAAAAAAATTTTTTTTTTCAAATTTTTTTTAATTTTTATTGTTATATATTATTTATTTATATCATTTTTAACATTATTATTGTTATTTATATATGTTTTAAAACGTTTAGAGTTTATTAGAATAAATTTTTATTTTATAATAATAATTAACAATAATAATGATTAAATGACAATAACAATAATAATTCAAATGATTTTAAAATTTTAAATTCCTTTTAATATTTTTTAAATAATCCAAGTATTAAATAAAAAAAATAAAATATGCGTAAAATGATATAATAATAATAAAAAAAATTTTCTGCATAGATGTTGGAAGGAATACAATCGTGCTTTAAATAATAATAATTTTTCCTAGATGTTGAGGAATTATTATTAAAAAATATATAATAAATAATATTAAAACTAAGTAAACTAATATTAACTCTTTTTAATAAAAAAATTATTTTCTTGAAAATCATAAAAATCAAACTTGCTCCGAAAGTTCACCTAGATGTTGGAGATTTTTAGAGATGTTTGCATTTTCTTTTAACCGAAACCCCAAAATCCAAAATCTCAAATCCTAAAATCCAAAATCCCGAACCTTAAATCCAAAACCTTAAAATTCAAATCTAAAAATCCCAATTTTGGTACGCAATTGCAAACCATCATCGAAAAAAAAATTGTTCAAACTCCAAGCCCCTTAAAATGCTAAACCTATACCCATAATTATTCTGAAACTTCAAGGATATGTGTGAAAATCTCATATGAAATGATTTGTTCTCAAAATGCCACCTAAATGATGGGTATTTAAGAAACTTTATTTCATAAAATTTTTTTTACACGAATTCTTAATTCGCATTAATAGTGGGATTAATAAATAAAAAGTAATAATAAAATGGAGATGTATGTTAAATATAAATAGTCGCACTTAAGCTCTGCCTAAATGATGGAGAGTCGGAGTGGTCTCATTATATTTAAGAGCCCAACTTTAAAATTATATTTCATCATACATAATATTCATTGGCATACATATATTAGCATGTTATTGTTGGCAATC